TGAGGAGAACTACAATGCTGATCCAGCCCTCAAAGAAATGCAGTTTGACACCCCTGATCTATGTGCAGCCATTGAGACAAGTGATCAGTCAGTTCAGGATGTAGTGTTCTCAACATGCTGATAACTTTTCCATTGCTACCCCGGGCTACCCCAGGTCATGATATGGAAGTCTTGTCCTAATGTCTAAAGGCTATTAGGATCTGAATGAGACAAAATGGACTGATGAAAAAGCCAGGCAAGAAGATTTTGTTGGTTTGTTCAGGTTTCTGATTGTTTGTGTCTCAGAGTGGGAGATGCTATACCTCAAGAAGTAAGCCTGTAAAGTGGGAAGCCTCCTGGTATGTGATAACTGCTAGGTGGGCAAATGGATGTCTGTAATGTGCTTTGCATGGGGCTGTTTTTGAAGCTTTCCAGAAGCTAGAAATGGTATTTTGACTCTGTTTGCTGGCAGTTCTTAACCACCAGAGCATATTATACTTGTGCTTAACGTTTTGTATTGTTATCCAATAGAATTTTAAGTACAATTCAAAATACTGGAAAATAAAAGAGAATAATGTGGAATTATGAATTGTGCAATTTTAGCATATGATTATTCTGATTAATGATTGAATTATTGATTAATATGTTATTTATACTCTTACTATGGGGTTTATTGTTCCATATACTTTAGGTGCCACTGTTTATAATATTCATGGTGGATGTTTTGGTGTATTATGTTGTTATGGTACCTTTGCTATCATGCTGGATCATCTGGAATTTTTCAATATAGAGTTGGAGATCTAAGAACATTTTTCTTCAGATTATCTTTGTTTTAAAATAGTTTGGCTTGTATTATTCTTATACATCTGTACTATTATACTTTCTGTGTTATTTTATCTGTACAGGTGTATGATACATCTGATGGAACATTAATCCAGCCCTTGAAAGCCCATAAGGATACAGTATATTGTGTAGCATATGCAAAAGATGGTAATATGAAATCCACCTGTTTACATTTTTTACAATTACAATTGCCTTTTTTATGTCATCAATATAAGATCTATATAGCATCTCTTGCTAACTGAGGCAAAGAATTGATCAATTCCT